TCAAAGTAGTAAACCAGAATTTACAAAATGGATTAAACTTATGGCAATAAATCGCTCATCAACACAAGCTAATAGCTTGTGAAACACAAAAAAAACATGCAGAAAATCTACGGATTTGAAATGACGCTGAGAATACAAGTTCAATCGAATCGGAGAAAATATCAGATGCACAACAGAGAATGTCAAGGAGGCGTTGTTGTCGTTGTTGAATCCTCGTTACGGCAGGATCAGAATGATATTCTTGTAGCAGAACCAAAGTTGATGAACTGAGTTCGTAATGTTATCGTGACCGTTATGGTCGTGCAGAATAAAGAAGCTCATCTGAAGCGCCGTGTAGTTGCCGAGCTTGTGATATGAGTCGAGCAGTGCGTGTTTTAACTCATGTTGTTGTAGAGTTGGAGAAATCGTCCTGACATCATGTTGTTACTGACTCGAGACAGAGTCGTCATCATGAGTCGTGACGTCAAACCACACGCTCTCTCTTTTCTCCTCAAACCGATACTTCGAATTCAAACTCTCAAAGGAGGATGTAACCCTTAGCTACATGCAAAAACAAAACACTAAACAGTAACTCAAGATAAAAAAAAACAGTACACTCTTGACAATTTCATTTGCTGTAGGTACGAGGTAATGGGGAAAACGAGGTTTGCGGTTGAAGGCGGAGTAAGTTGACGATGGTGTCGGAGAGTGTCGGCAGCTGCAAGTTGCGAGTCTGGTGTCCACCGCTCACGATGTCTCTCTTCTTTTCCAAACCCCAAATCTTGCTCTTCCCATAATAGCTACCGTGACATGAGCGAACCGCAACAACAATTGTAGAAGCTTCTTCTTCTTAACAATAGTTACGAAACCTCACTGCTTTCTGAGTACGGTCTTGAGTTGTTGCGAAACTACTATGCGAAATCGAGCGAGAATATGTCGGCACGGGGGTTGTTGTGTTGCTCACTTAGCGAACTCCGTTCCCCTCTGCATCAAGAAAGCTGCACGAGAACTATTACTGCACCTTGATAAACTCATAACATCAAGCCAAATCTAACAACCATAAATCCAAAGTAAACTGAAGTTGATAAAAAAACTAATAAGAGAAAAAGAGTTGGGGAAGAAACGGCAGCGACAACATCTGGAACAGTGTTGTTCACATAATATCGTTAACAGGTGATTGAACCATAATGAGTTGCAACAAGCTACAACATCTCGCAAATGCGGCATCGACACCGTCAATTTTATGTTGTTGTTGCCCGAATTGATAAACAAAGGAACTCCGCAGCTACTACGTTTGCCGGAGCTACAACCTTTTTCACCGCAGTAGAATAAATCCTCCACCTGAAACTCAGTAATGCGACATTAAATTAAAACTAAATAGAACTCCAAATTTTAACCACAATCATGATGTGAAATCCATGATGGCGGATCTGGACCCAAGGGTGTTCGAAGTGGTTGTTGAATCAAGTGTTTGCAGAAGGAGTTTTGTCGCTCGCGATGATGTTGTTGTTGAGAAATAAAGAACTGAGATGTTAATGTTATCACCCGAGTTGTGGTGGTTTGGAGAGTTCACGGTGGAAACGGCAGACAGTGGTTCTGATTTGCCTTGGTGGTGAAGTAGGTTGTAATGGAGCAGAAGAAAGTTGGGGTTAGGGGTGGAAAACATGGCGGTGAAAATAAGAACAGGGTGGAAGAATGATGAAGAAGGGTTATAAGAGGGAGGAGAAGATGGACGGTGAGAGAACGGGGATGACGATGTGGGTCGGCTGAGAGAAGAGGAAGAAATTCTCTTAGGGTTTGACGGCTCCGGTTCCCTTTTCTTATGAACAGTAACCAACCCCTTTATATTTTCAAACTGTAACCCTAATTTAATTTCTATCCCGCCTCTCTCTTCTTTTTTTTCTTTTAACTTTTAGTTAATTCTGTTTTCTATTAATAAGAATTCCATTGCTAATATTCTTACTTTTTAATTATAATCTTAATCCTAAATAACTAACTCTAGATTTTAATTAAAAAGCTAATTATATATTCTAATTAAGTTCTAATTATTTTTTTAATCTAAACTAATTAATTAATTACTATTAAAACTATATTATACTTACATATCAAAAAATAAATAAAAATAAATTATAAGGCAAAAATAATAACAAAATAAAATAAAAAAAATAAAAATGCCACATGTCACAAATTTATTCGTTAAAAAGAGGTGAGAAAATTTATTTTTGCTAAAAAATATGCTACGCTGTACAAGCGATGCGAACTGAAAAAATAAAGTCGGGCTAATGAAGATTTTGAAATAGGTAGGACAAATTTGGGGTATGACAGACATCCAAGACTCTGATCATGCAAACTCTGATGTTTACTTTGCTGAAATGAAATACTTGTTGAAGAAGAATTCAAAGTGATATCTTTTGATTTGGCTCAACGAATCTTTCCTCTTTCATGCTTGACACTAGAACATAGACCAAAAGCATTTCTCTGTGCATTCTACTTCCAGGAAAGGTCATGTGATGTAAAGACAAAAAAGGTTCAGGCATTTTCAGTACACAGCCTCCAACGTCAAGACTTTGTGGACTACTGTGCATATAAAAGCAAGTCTTCCTCATCTTCTTCAAGAAATCAACAACTAACGAATCTTTGATAGAAACTCTTACAAGCTCTCATAAAATATCCTTATTTCTGAGTTTATTCTTTTGTTCTTAATATTAAGTGAAAAAATCACAGTTGTGAAAAAGCTTGTTAGAAGCATTCAAACACTTGTATTAATCTTACATTTCATTGTAATAGTTCCTTGAGAAGATCCAGTTGGGATCAGTAGTTCTTGAGAAGACTTTGAACAGTTGTTCTTAGTTCTTACTATTGTAATCAGTTGATTAAATAGTGGATTAAGTCCTTGTTTGAGAAAGGCAAATCACTCTAGATAGGGTGGACTGGAGTAGTTGAGTTCAACGAACCAGGATAAAAATACTTGAGTTTTTACTTCTAAGTTTTATCTTCATACTTATTCAACCCCCCCTTTTAAGTATTTTCTCACCTTCACTGCTTCCTTTTTTCCCTCGCTTCCGCACGATCGAAACTCCTTTCTCTCGCATCCTGGCGATTGAGATCCCCCCTTTTGCCTCCGTGCAATCAAGACTCCCTTTTCTCTCACTTCCATGCAATCGAGACCGTTTTTCGTAGTTAGCTGAACTACAGCTGCTCTGATTTCTTGTACCAGACGAGAATATGTAGGCATATGATGCGATATCTTAGCGAGCACACTAACAACTAACTTCTCTGTTCTCTCGCTTCCGCACGATCGAGACTTTCCCGCTGACAACTAATCTTTCCCTTTCTCTTGCCCTAGCGCAATTGATACCAGACCGTAGTTCTAGAACCCATATGTTCCCTTACCTTTTAACCAATGACATGCAACGTCCGTTCTACCGCAAACAGGTAACGCCTAAGTCTCCAATGGTCGAGCAACAATACACCTAACTGCTAGAATGCATACGCTAGTATTGTCAACCTTTTCTCTCGCTCATGCGATCGAGAACACCCTGTTTACCCGTAGTTAGCCTGAACTACATTTTGGTCTGATTTCTCATGCCAGATGAGAATACGTAGGCACAAGATGCGATGTCTTGGCGAGCAATCCCCCCTGTAGTTTCCTAAACTACGTTGACTCTGACTTTTCCATTGCACGAAGGAATACATAGGCATAAAGCGCGACGCTCTATCGAGTTAGTTCTTTCTGTTCTTTTCAGTCCCTTCCGTTTAGCTTTAGCAGCCGTAGATAGTTTGTTTTTCACCCATAAACTAGACAACAAGCGTGGATCTCGTCGAGTACGACGGACGTGAGGGGTGCTAATATCTTCCCCTTGCGTAACCGACTCCCGAACCCGAGATTTGGTTGTGACGACCGATCTTATCCCTCTTTTCGTTAGGTTTTCTCTGAGTGTTTCCTTTCCCTCTCTTGGGATAAATAACGCACGGTGGCGACTCTTTTGTCATTGCCGACCTCGATTTTCGCAGTAGCGACATAGCCAAAACGCCCAAACATCATACCATAGCCACAAACACACAAACATCTTTCCATAACCAAAATGCTCAAACATCACATCATATCCTACACACAGAAACATCATAACAACCTTATGGCTTTCAAACACCAATATTATTTCAATCTTTCACCAACGAAGCCTTCACACCAATGCCCCCCTTTAATCGTCAAGATTGCACACCAATGACCCCTTCATCACATCCGAACTACTCCAACATGAGTCGCGAGCTCAGTTTCAACACACAAGACTTCTTGGAAATGCCTTAAATTCTTAGGGATTCAGCTGAGAATGTTCCTGAGACCTGAAGTGAATCAACAACGAGGGCAACAAGGACAACGAGTGAGGGTGCCTAGGGGATGTGGAACCAGTGACCGGTATGACCAACCTGGTCACCAACATTAATTTATGTAATATTATTTTTAGTTAAATATTAATGTTAGTTATTTATGTTTAAAAAATTTCATTTTCTCCGGGTCTCCAATTGAATTGGCGACACCCTTTAAAATTTATAATGTGTCGCCAATTGGATTAACAACATCACGTGATATCTCTAATTCAATTGGTGACAACTCTTACACTCAATCAGTATCCTAAAATGAAGTCCTTTGAAAAATAATTTAAAAAATAAATTATTTTGAGAATTTATTTTAAAAGTGATGTATTTAGGTAAAAAATTCTGAAAATCATGTTTGAACACATTAAATTAACAAAACCTACTTCAAAAAAAGTTTTCAGTGTCCGTCTGATAACTAAACCCAACATACTGACTCACACGTGCCGGCCTCGAAAGTATCGAAGCGAAGTTGAACAAACATCTAAAACCTCAACAAGAAACCAAACCAAACCAAAAAAAACACTGTGCTATGTTGTTCTTCCTATAAATACATTCCTCAGTATTTATCAACTCATTTTTGTTTCATTTCATTTTCGAGACTTTGTACCCTCCGTCCCTCTTTAGATCTCAGATCTCTCTCTCCAATGGCATCCATTACCGGAACCTCCATGTCCCTCCTCTCCAACAAATCTATGGTATGTACCTTTTTCATTTTCTTAATCTTTTCAATCATCAATTTATTTTATTCAACCTTGTTTAATGGATCGGTTCAATCAATCACAGGTTTCTTGTACCAGGATCTCTGGTCCAAATTCAGTTTCTCTCTCAATTAAGGGTAGAAACTTTCCATCCATTACCTTTCAACCAAGAGGGCTTAGGTTTCAAGTTACATGTGCGGTAAGATTTTAAACCTTAAACTTGTATGTTTCTGTTTTGCCGCCTTGTTTATTTTAGGTATTTAGTGTATGTTTGGTGCAAAAACCTTAAAAACAATCGTTTCGAAACGGAGGAAGTATTATTATATGATTAGAATTGCAGAGAAATAAAAGTCTTAATGTGTCTGATCCTGAACATCTGTGATATTTAAGAGGACTTTGATTTTGTGCAGGCTAAACCAGAGACTGTGCAGAAGGTGTGTGACATTGTCAAGAAACAATTGGCCCTGGCAGACGGTACGGCTGTTACCGGAGAGTCTAAGTTTGCTGCTCTTGGAGCTGATTCTCTTGACACGGTATAGTTATATTTATCTATGAATTCTTGTGGTGGGAAATTGCAAATTTACGATACTTAATCATTCAAAAATATCTCAACTTTGAAATCCTTTCAAAGTATTTGCTCTAGTTGATTGTATCTTCTAGCTACTTGATGTTTGAACGATACATACCGTTTGGGAGTCTCACATTGAGCAGTTTTATCTGCTCTATGTGAGACTCCTAACATTGCCATACTCTTTAAGAGTTGGCGTCCACGACAGCTTTCACTCAATCGGCACTGACCTGATGGCAGCCTTTCCTTTTTGACGGCTTCACTCGCCTATCAGTATTCAGGGGAGCAACTTAATCTAGCCTATTGGTAGTCCTTTCCATGTCCCAACAGTCAATGAGAGCTACTCTGAAGTGTTATAGCTCCGTTATAGCAGTTATTTGACCACACTATGTACTAAATAGCATATTGCAGTACATTAGTAATTTGTTCACTAGTACACTATAGAGCTATAGTGTCGCCATAGCCACTATTTGACGACACTGAATTCTACTCTACAGTCTACAAATTATTGTGTCTGGTAAAATGCCATTGCTTGTCAATCGAGTCTAGTTACTTTACTATTATTGTCTCCATTATAAAACTCCTCAGGTTGTTTAAGCAATTTCAGTTTTTTCTTGGCCATTTTATTTTGTAACCTGTTTGACTTTGTTTTTGTTTAAGAAACGTGTTACTTTATGGTGAAGAAGCTTTATACCCTTACTTTCACGGATCACACACTACCCATACCACTTGAGCCATATGCTCAAATGACATGCTAAATGCGGTTATTTGATGCATATCAGAACACGGTGTCTGGTTTACATTCTATGATATTTTGCTCGATTATTTAGACTGGCATTTCAAATTTTGTGCAGGTTGAGATTGTGATGGGACTAGAGGAAGAATTTGGCATTAGCGTGGAAGAAGAAAGTGCTCAGAGCATCACCACTGTCCAAGAAGCTGCTGACATGATCGACAAGCTTCTCGAGACCAAGGCTTAGACCAGCAAAGAGGACTTACATATCCATTTTGGAGTTTTTTTTTTGGATGCTATATGATCTTTGGTGTGTCGGTTTAATTAAACTTCATGTAACTGCGAGATCTTTTCTGGACCATATTAGGATTACAATAATGCTAGTTTTAATCTTAATTTTGTAGAACTTATATCGGTTTCTTTACATGTTATATGGAATTTGCTCTTAAAAGTCATAAAGTATTTGCTATTTTGAGATATTCGTGTGTTTCATTACTAAAGATATTTCTTGCTCTGTTTTACTTCAGTCTCTTTGGTACCAATTGTTGATATGGCAGAAAAACTGTTTCTTATCAATGTTAATCTTTTGACATGAACTCTAACAAGAAAGATTAAACAAGATTAGATAATATCAGCTCAAGATTGAAAGTCCGAAGAAAATGGAAAATTTTCTATTAATGCAAAAATTGTTTTTTATCCATCTCTTAACTATGTTGAAACGAGAAAGCTTATATTTGGAATGAAAATTTGTTAGTTGAAACTGTAAATTCTTTGAGTTAAAGTAAGTTCACTTTGTGCATTACAAATTCATCTTACACATATCTTTGAACTGCTCTTTCATCATAAACTAAGTTCATTTTCTTATGCAAATACTGTGTTGATGCCAATTATGTGATTATAATATACAAAGAATGAGACAAACAGACAGCAAAACAAGACAAAACATGATTACTTAAACATTACTAGTATTACTACTGAAATTTCTCACTTGATTGGGCAGCATGTGGTCGATAATTGGAAATTATTCATTATGATTAGGTGTCTATCACGTGCAATTCAGCCTCAACATGAAAAAATATGAGCACTTGCTTTTGCTTCAACCATGTAGCACTGGCACCCCAAATCAACTCAGTTCATGGCATGCAAATCTGACAGAGCTGGTAGCAACTCTTTCATTTCAATTTGAGTGCACCTTTAGAATTGCGGCGAGTTCGACAAAATCACAGTATTACGAAAAAAAACTGTTGATCTAAAATGCGCTCAATGTGACTTTCAGCTTTAATGAGCATGGTGATGCTGGAATTGCAAAAAGGCTCTTTAAAAAGTTCAATCATGGGCCTCTCATTAGAAAGAAAAGATAAAGAACACTTTAACATAAAGGAAAAACAAAAGAAAACTAACCTCAATAATTATAAATCATAAAAAAAAAAGTTGCAATTGAGAAAGAAACTGAATTTCATTATAATATCATCATATACTACAAGGCAAGAATGAAAAATTAACAGGAAAGTGGAATATAATAAGACACATCATAAATCATTTACTGCAAAGAAATGTATGCTGCTAAACATGCAAAAGCAATAGTTGCTATGTCAAAAACTACACTTCTATGAGCATTGGAAGTAGCTTGTACTGATCCATATGGTGCAAATGCAGAAAAGGGTCCTGGAGCAATGATGTCATCTGGGTTTGGAGGACTTGGATTGGAAGGAATAGTGGGAATGTCAGAGCCTGTAGGAGTTGGCAAAGCACCACCAGAAGAAGGCAAAAGTGGAGCAATGTCAGGTGACAAATCTTGGGAAGGAAAGAGTGAAGATGGAGAAGGATCTGTTTTTGTTGCTGGTGAAGAAGAGGAGAGTGTGGGAACTTCAGGAAGAGGTTGTTGTGGTTGTGAATATGATGAAAGGAGAGGTGAGGGCATGAAAATCATGATGATCATTAGTACTAGATAAAAACTGAATGATGCCATGCTAATGGTGAAGGCTTTTAGTGGAAAAAAAAATGATGGCAATAACCCTTTATATTGGCAAACACTGTGAAGCTTTGCAGGCTCCTATCACTTTCACAACCCTCTTCTACCAAAGACTTGTGTGGGGTCAAGTGGGGGCCCCACTTGGGTTGAATCCATTGGATCATGATAAGGAAAAGTTGTGTTTTTTTCTTTGAGGAACAGACAAAGAATGGAAAAGGTTTCCATGTGACGTTTGGTGAGAAAGAATCATTTTCTACCCGTGATATTTGGTGCCATACAGCTCTTTCTTTTTTTGATTTATTAAAATGTGTCACTAAGACACAAATTAGGGTTACCCTAAAGTTAATATTGTTAATTATAGAACAAAAGGGGTATGTGTGTCCCCTTATCATTTTGATTTAAATGACATTGATTTCTAATAGCTGACAAATATTTGTTGTTCTGGCCATGTGTGCATATAGGTACCCTATCAAATAGGAACATGCTATTGTTCCAAGTTTCCATTTGAGCTCATAACTTCTTGTTTTTAACATGCATCTCAGTTAGTATGAGATAATAGCAAAAACTAGATACAAACATAGAAAAAGCTTATTTGTTATAATATATACATGTAACCTATATGTTTCTTCTTTTTAAATTACCGAAAGGAATCTGAGGTAAGTAATTTTTCATTTCATGAAGATACAGAGTACACATGATTTAAATAGAAGTACAGTGAAGCCAGAGTGGAATTCACCAAAATGCTTAACCTTTATCGGAAATTTACTAATACCTGAAAAATAAAGGTAAGTGAGTAAAGTGGAGAAACTATGAATTCCGCCAACTAGAACAGGACAATCATATTGGCGAAAATGAACGTGACAATTGTAAAATAACATAATATGATACCAATCATTACTCAAATTCAAATGCAGCGAGGTAACCGCTGCAACTCCGAGGCTGCCAATCCAGCAGTTTTGGCTAAAGCAGGGACACTTGAACTCTTGAGTTCAGAAACTATTCCTTCAATTCTTGAAATCTCTGGTATCGATATTGATAGGATCATTGCATGCAATAAGTACTGCTTGCAAGCATAACCTAAAGCATGAAGCATTCTCTGAACCGTTAAGTGAAGGATGCCTTTACTCCATGATTCTAGGATCACAGTGACCTTGGGGAGATTGGTTAGTAGACCAGTCGTGGCTTCTCTAGGAGCGGCCTTGAGCAGTAAAATCACACACTCGGAAGCTATATCGGCAATACTGGTTTCCCTAGATGCACTCAACTCTAGGAAGACACCAACATTGCTTCCGAGATCTGTTATATCTCTTATGCATTGCTGGGGGTCAACCGCTCCACTCACCTCAGGAGGACAGTCACCTAAGAGAGTTGGTTCTGTTGTGTGTCTGAAGACTGAACGTGCTAGAAAAGCCCTACACAACCCAAGAGTTGGTTCCAGCAAATCTTCCATACCCTTAGCACATACAAACTCGAGAAAATTACCAATCCTCCTAACAACTTTCAATTGGGAGAGTAACTTTGACTCCATTTCAGGAGCAGAAGCCAGAGCAAGACACAGCTTAATGTTATTCACATTTGCATTTGACAGATCACCAAGCAAGAACTCAAAACATTGTGATATTGTCTTCAGGTGTAGAATGTCTGGAATTGAAATAAAACTGAACTCTAATAACATGACAAGAAGCTTCTGTGCAAAGATAGGTATCGGATCTTCATCCTCGATCAAGGTTGGGTAGAGAGGAAGAAAATGTGTATTTGATACGAACTTCAGATCATTCAATCTTTGCTCTTCTTCAATTGGTTCACTCAAGAGAATAATCATCACATCAAAAAAGATTTTAAGGCACAAAAACCTGGCATCACCATCCTTGTTACCCTTGTAGAGAACTGTCAAACTAGGGAGAATTTCACGAATGAAAATGTCAGGATTGCCAAGGATCACAGAAGATTCCTCCGTCAGAGACTCTAAAATTCGTAGAAGGGTTATTTGGAAGTCATCTCTTCCCTGAAAGCCAAACAATAAACAAAGACAGCAATATCAAATATCAATTGTCAATTATAAGTATACCTTGTTCTGCTGAAAGTAGCAGCTGCCATCTTAACTAATACTATGACCTAATCAATGATAGCATTGGTAAAATAATTGTCAAAACAGTTATTTAAGAGAGATGAAGTGCAAAACAATATGTGCAAATTTAGCAGACAATTTATCAGATATTAGAACACTTTCTGTTTTGACTGAGCTTTATTCTATTAAAAATACTAACGTATAATGTGCACTTGCCTCTTGAGGTATGCTCAAATGAGAAACATGCTCCAACTTTTCAAATAAACACCACCACCCTTATTGATTGGGAAAATTACGGTAGTCTTTTAGGCCTACTGTTATTTTAAGAAAATAGAGGTGTATGTCTTAAGTATATTTCATGCAAAGTGGGTACGATTTCTCCAAAAATTAACAAATCTTATAATTTATTATAAGTAGAGTAACTATTTTCATAGATAAATTTAATAATTCTTTGTAGACATAAAATTTCGCCATTTTTACTGCCAAACTAATAATATCTATTGAATAGTTTAAGTCTACAAATTTTTAAGAAGTTAAAAAAATTATTTGATCCTTCATCAAATAATTTTACTTTAACATATAATTTATTTTTTTAAATACAAAAGATGGCTATAAGATTACATAGCCACAAGCATTCGATTAATATAAAATTTGGAGTGCATGATCTTTAAGATAATATTACCATATTTAACAGTTAGATATGTTTTCAAAAAAGTTATTAAGTCTATTAATGTAACAAGAGTTACTCTAGTAGTAAGTCCATCTCACTGATTAATTATATCAAATACTTATTTTGAGATCAGCCCTCTTTTTTGGAGAGATTTGAGGTCAACCCTTATATTCTAAAATACACCTTTTATTTCATTAGTAAACTATCTATAGACTATATCTTAGCACAATTAATATCTAACAAAACTTTGCAGCTTCGCTCTGACAGAACTCGTGATTTCAGGAAAGCATAGGATTAAAATTTAAAAGCAAACAATATCTAACAGCTGAGTCACAGACCTGAAATGGTGCCTCTGCGAGTTTAATGAGATTCGCCAACTGCCTTAGTACTGGAAGTGTTGCCACTTTGTGCTTAAAAGCTGAACTTTCAAGAAGATGAAGGACAACGGGAAACAAATTAATATTGGCTTTTGGAGCAGATCTGCCAGTAAGGGAAGAGATGTGTCCATGGCGCCTTCCTCCCATCATTTGCTGGATATCTCCTGTTATTATATCCAGTAAACCTGGAATAGTAGATGCCACAATATGCAGAAATGCAACTAAACACTGCCTCACAAAGGCATCCTTCTCTTTTCCCAGCCTATCCACCACTGAGAGTAACTTATGGCTACAAAAGAACTGTGGAAGCCACCTCCTACCGTGCTTGCAGAGGAGAGCCACAAAGACAAGTGCCTTTCCTTTTAAAACTTCACTACCCTGCTCAACAAGTGACAGAAGACTTGGGATCAGATTCTTATCCTCTGAAAGTTGTATAAGGTATCTTCCAACATTTGTGAGTATATGACTTCCAAGCATTGCTGAGTTAAGAAGATTTAAGCTAATTTGCTGCTCTCGTGGACTGCCTTTGACAAGAGCAGAAGCTAGGTCCTTGAATGAGAGTTTCTCTATAACAGACTGAATGCTAGAAGGATTAAAACGAACTAAGCGCACTAAACATGATCCTGCAGTAAGCCTCATGCTTTCCTGTTTCCCTGCCGCTCTATAGATGTAGCAGAGATTATTAATAACATCTTGACTGGTCAAACGTGCCACCCAGACGCCTCCTTGACTGCAAATATTCTCAACTGTTCTCAATGCATACAATTGAGTTATATCATCCTCACCTTTCCTCAACATCGATGTCACAAGGGAAATTAATGAATTTGGAACCTGCAGCCAGATCAAAATAAGTTAACTCTGGAAAAATATGAACTTTGAAAGTTGGCTAAGAAAGTAAAAATAGGTGGAAATAAACAGACACACTAGTAGCACTACAGAACTCAAGTTTCAAATGACATTGGCAGATGGACAACAAACATTATATCCAACAAGCTAAGAAGCTAACCTGCCAGCCATGCGCAGTCCTATTGTCCTTTGATGGAGATTCAAGCGGAGTGTTATCTTTAGAGTCTGCACTTTGGGTGGATATATAAAATAGCAACTCACCCAAAGCAGCCATAGAAAACCTTCTCACTTTTTCCTGTCTGTCCCTAAGGCCATCCGTCAGTGAACCTAGAATTCCAGAATTAGCCAAACTATCATCAACAAAGGTAGAGTGTCTGATCAACAGACCAATCAGTGAAGCAAGTTGAACACGTAAAGCTGATGCCTTAGACTGACGTAGCAATTTTACGAGAATGAGCATTATTGGCCCATTGGTCAAGATATTTGCTGCATCAGCATTACTGCTCAACATCTCGAGGTACCTAACCACATTTTGTTTTTCTCCAATGCTAGTATTCCCACTCAAGATGGATATAATTCGGTTATGTACTGCCTCCAATTGCTCTTTAGGCATCTTGACAAAATCAGGTGCTTGTAACGCCTCAAAAGGAAGTGAAGGGATGACTTCTGAGCCTTTGTCAACTTTTCTGCTGGGCATTACAGGTCTGACTGAGAGATCAGATGGATGCCAAATAACCTGGGAATTGTCATTTGATGATCTTGAAGAATCAGAGTCAAGGCCAGAACCTAAATCTTCTTTTGGCCTATGTTTTTTCACTAGAGGGCTTACACTTGGAGAAATAGCAGATATGTCAGAACGGTCAGGAGTTGACTCGTGATCAAATGACCTTGAATCGTCTGAGGCAGGAGTAGTCACAGATAAGGTGTCCAGCCGGTGTATAACATTGTCAGTGTCACCTGCTTTTCCCTGATTCTGAAAATTATTCTCCATTTTCTCATTGGGCACAGGTGTGTGTTCAGAACCATCAGTTTCTTC